CACAAATTGCAGGAGCGACGGATCGCTTGAGCGATCCATCGCTGCGAGCGACGGGAGATTTACACGGCCGACCAACGATAATTCGGCGCCATCAGCTCGTAAATCTCCCGTCGCTCGCACTTTGGAGCGATGGATCGCTCAAGCGATCCATCGCTCGGGCCGTGATAAGTGCCTTGGCCGTTGTGGCAGGGAGCTGCGAGCGACGGGAGATTTACGAGCTGATGGCGCCGAATTATCGTTGGTCGGCCGTGTAAATCTCCCGTCGCTCGCAGCGATGGATCGCTCAAGCGATCCGTCGCTCCTGCAATTTGTGCACAATCGCTCCAATCGCAAAGTCTGACATCGGCCACTACAGACAGGTGTTAGTGTACTAAGCCATCTTACGCAATGATACTGCCCTTCTCAGGGAAGCTTTTCAAAAGAATGAATGAACAATCATCAACATAAACGCTCACATTTATGATACACATGTGAATCAGCGCCATCCTATGTAGCTCTAAAGCATTTGCTCGACCATCAAATTCGATTAGAAACTCAAATAACGGCAAAATAGTCAAAAAGCGGGAATATAAAGCGCACCACTGAAGTGGAACTAAACATTTCAAGTATATGAAAAATGCTGGATCGTTGCTGAAACCCCACGTGACGCACCCTCAGCTACAATCTTACTAAGGGCAGTGTCAGACTTGGCGAATCCAGCGAATCGCGGGGTACGAGCGATGCGCCAGCTGCTCGAACGAGGTGTGCCAGTGATTCGAACGATGCAACCGCGACTCGACAGTGTGGGAAAGTGGCGAGATTCCCTCTCATGCCCCCGTTGACGCTCGCCACTTTTCAAGGTTCGCGAGAGAGCATGAGAGCGCGAGAGGGCAAGACACCATTGGAAATTGGTGAGAGTGGCTCCCCACTTTCTTCACGATTTGGGGGGCGGCCGAGTCGATAGTGCCCGCGAACTGTGCGGGTAAATTTGAAAACGCTCCACCACCACAGTTCGCGGTGGACTCGTCCGCGCTCGCCGCGGCCGCGCCCCAAATCGTGAAGAAAGTGGGGGAGCCGCTGAGTCAAGCGCATGGAAGGGGCTATAGCTAATCTGTCTTGTACCCGCACGATTTGCTGCATTCGCGAAGTCTGACACCATCGTCAGTGTACGAAGCCACATCCGTTTCGTGAAAAGCTACGAATAGGAAAATCTGGCTAGGGACGAGACACACATTAGTTGTCTCCATCAACTGAGTGTGTAGCGAGAACTGGCAAAAAGGATGGAATATGGATCTCTAAACAGAAAAAAAAAAAGAAAAGCTAGCGAATCCTCTAGCCCGGCATCAGGTGTGAGCAGTGTTAAGCTGGTGTCAGAGTCCGCGATCCGTCGTAGGTTTAGCTGATTTTCGCGACTTTTGCAAAACCTGCCGGACCCAGTTGAACATGTTGAAACACTGCATTATGGAAATCCATGAGCAGTTCGCTCAGCCGGTGATCACTATCAAGCAGAAGTGGCGGCAGGATTGGAGAACACCTTGTATATTGATCGGGCACTTGTGATTTTCCGTGACCCGTGGCGTGAATCGCGTGAATCGCGCAAATCGTGAAAATCAGCGAAACCTGCGACGGTATCGCGGACTCTGACACCAGCCTTGAGAGGCAATGCGCACCGCTGGAAAGGATACGGTCTATTGCGAAAGTACAAGCGAAGTACTCTTGACAGGGACGAAACGCGCTGGGTATCTTCAGGGGGAACTCAGGCTTGCGAGAGCGACTCTACATGCTAAGGTTTTTGATTTTCATTCAGAACTCCTCCTCCTTCCTTTGCCTCAGTTAGGGCGACCCTATGACCCTCAGAACCAGTAGGGCATTTCCCCGTAGGCCCACCCAGCGAAACATTCCCTATAGGAACAACAAACATCGAAAGAAATACGTACATTACTTATTTTCGACGCTACTGAGCGATTAAATAGAGAATTTAGAGAATAGATGGAAGAGAGAATTTTTCGGGAGTAAAATTTCGCGTCATAATTACGCGTTGTCGCCATTTCCATTGTAAACTGAACGGATCACATTTCGCGATGGAACCGAATCAATTCCCGCAGTAAACTTTACGAACAATCTCATTGTGAACTAAGCCACTTTTTGTATACAAAGGGGTCACTGCTACTTCTGATGATTCATGCTTCACAGAGGAGAATTCGTTTGGTTTCTCATCATATTGTTGGATATTACCCAAACTTCAGAAAGCTAGAGGTGCGGGTTCGAGTCTCGCCTGATGCCAAAGTTTTGCACACAACTCAGCATTCTTGTGAGTAAAGGAACAAGCGATCTACGGGATATCGTTTGGAACAGTAGTTAGCACACAAAGCAAGTCAAAATTATTGAACATGTCCAAGCGGGGTAGGTGTTGATATACATTTGGTTTTCACTTACACACATTCTGAAGAAACGATCAATTTTTAATTAAATCGCCTGCATAGGGAAGAAGAGAGCATTAGAGCGCGCATTGAAGTTCCGTTAACTATTCATGATGAATGGTGATGAAGCGAGCTTACAGTGAACAAAGGGAAGACATAAATGGAAGGACATGAAAAACACACAAGCGTTCCGTAAATCTCCGAAACTGTACGCAATTGCACCAACTCTGCTTTCACCGTCGCCATAGTTCAACCTATCTCCGTTGAATGTCTGGGGCCGGGTGCAGCAAGCCCCAACTAGGGGAGGGATCCCCAACCTTGGGGATCCCTCCCCTCCCCAACGAGGGGATGGATCCCCAACCTTGGGGATGGATCCCCAACCTTGGGGACATATCCCCAAGGTTGGGGATCCATCCCCAAGGTTGGGGATCCATCCCCTCGTTGGGGGAGGGGAGGGATCCCCAACCTTGGGGATGGATCCCCAACCTTGGGGATATATCCCCAACCTTGGGGATATATCCCCAACCTTGGGGATATATCCCCAACCTTGGGGATATATCCCCTACTTCGTCGCAAGACCCATCGTTTTTCGGTGGCTCCTGTGACGCAACCGTGCGGGACGGTCACTGCCGTCGACCCTCTGCGTCTCTGCAGGCAGGGGATACATCCCCCTAGTCGAGACTAGGGGGATTCGTCCCCTCACTTGGCGACGCGGAGAATTGAAGGCAGTTTCGGGTTTCTTCACCCTCTATTTCGCTTCGTTATTCGCATTTCTTTTTTCGCCATTACCTTGCCTTTGTTCATTCGCTGTTTTCTAAGCACTGTTCACAGTTTTAAAATTATCGAATATTCAAATTTGCGAAAAGAATCAGATACATATCAACATTAACCCTTTCGGCCCTGGCGGTGGCAATTGCCACCACCAAATTCAAACGCTTGCATTTCCGCTGAAACAGCATAGTTTTTCTAATTCTGCTAGAGTTTATTCAGTCAACCTTCCCCTTCCTAATTATG